AGATTTCTTACACAAATTCCATCACATTAGTGTTAGATCTTCGAACCTTCAAGACATCTTCTTAGTGTTCTTGAGTGGAATACTACATTTCTTCATCATCCATCTACTGAAATCACTCAAGGTGAGTTTATACCCATACATTTTCATATTTTCTTATGTTTTAAGGGGGGGAATACAAGTTAAATCATCAAGAACACAACTAAATTTTTCTAACAGCTTACATCAGAAAAGTTGGACTCCATTCACGGACTGTTTTGGTCAACTAAAATATTTTTGTTTTCAAAATTGTACAAGGTGCAAGTAGTTCAACTTCTTATCTTTAACATGGCTACTTGCATATCTCCATACGATTTTTCTACAATTTATGGTGATTTTTGAAAAACTTCCTATCATTTCAAGAACCAATCCGGACCGGTCAATGTTTATAAACGTTTTCACCTAAGTTGGAGGTCACTAAAAATCATGGAAACATTTATGAACAAACTAGACTCATTAACCAAACTCCTAGAATTTACGGATTCTGATTTGGATCTATTATGAAGTTTTTATAAATTTTCTAATAACAGTGATTGAAGTTGTTACTAACAGAAAAATGCTAACATATTATTATCACCTTGTAACATGTTGAGCAAGGTGCATATCTTTATGTGAATGTATGTTATTACAAATGAATGACATTTTATCTTGGTATATGAACATGCATCAGTTAATAAATGGATTTTGTTATATATATACATATGAAATATAAAGGATAACACGATTGTTATAATCAAAGTACATCCATTTTACTCAAACAATTGAATGAACTACGTTGAATATAGTTTACGTACGTTACCATTACTACCCTTGTTTGGATAAACTATAATAGGTATGGTTTATGATACATTACATAACACACTCATACAAAAATTGTACATTTATACAGTAAGGGATTTTCATTACATTACACGTAAATTTGTTAAAGGCTTTGTGAGACATTCGCTTCACATTTACCATTAAGTCCTGTATTGTAACCAAAGTCTCCTGGAGGGAGAGCGTGATAGTTGTATATAGATCTATATTGGGCTTGACAAACCCATACCTTAACTGCATGCAACAGTTAGACCAGCAAGTCTGGGGTGACAAATATCATAAACATTTACGACGCCTGAAGAACGTCGTTTCATGCCAACTAGGTCATAACATGGTTATAATAAACTCACAGAAAGTATTAACAAACATAAGAATTTACAGGAATTTCATTTAAAATTCAAACGCGTTTATGTTGATTTAAACACATATCACTTTCTATTAGTAAGAGAGGTTACTTATACATTTTGGTTTTCGAATATAAGACTACATTACACATTTTAAGGAAAATATCGGATTTTTCTGAAACAAACATGACATTTACAAGAGAAAGACTTTTATCAAGTTTGAAAACAAAAGCTTATGAACTCACCAACCTTTGTGTTGACACTTTTTCAAACAACTTGTATTCTCAGAAAATCACTAAACAGGTATCAAAGAGCGTTTTGAGGATGTGACGTTAAGGCGTCAACATTTTATGTTTTATCAACATGTTGTAATTGATTTGGAAACATGTAACTCATACAATGATGTAACTCTTTCAATTATATATATGTTGGTTGTGTTTGCTTAAATTACTATTGCAATTGTGGTTATGATACTATACATGAAGTCCTCCACCCCCCGAATGTTTCCGCCATCCTTGGTTTGGGGGTGTGACAAAAACCTTGAGTGGGTGTTGAGTGTTTTCGGCCACCCTAGAACCGAGAACCTCACCCTTTGAGATAGATGGTTCGATGTTTGCATAAGACAAAAAAGGGATGATCTTGTTGGCGACACCTCACCACTTTACTCCTTTTGGACCATCAAACAACTATGCAAAACATGTAACAATCTTCCATGCCTCCATGCAATGCACTAGATTATCCATCATGCAACAATGCACTCTTCTTCCCCCTCCCTATTAAACTTGCGGCCGAAGGGTGGGGTATCCCACTCTTGCCACTTTATTTCTACTCCAAACTTCTCCTTCTCTCTAGAACAAAATCATCCTCTTCCAAGAACACTATCTTAAGATCGGTCCTAGGTTTTGTTGGTAAGTTTCTTCATGAATCTCAAGTATTTTCATACATTTGTTGTCAAATTCATCTTGTTTACACACAATTTTTCGTGTGCTAGAACACTAGCATTTTCGAGAATTCTTCAAGCTTGTGCAAGGCTAGGCTCGAAAACCAATCATTCTTTCCTTCCTACTACCATACGAAATAAACAAGGTGAGCATACAAAACTTTTTAAACCCACCTTGTGTAAGACTTACAACTCACTTTGTAAGACTTATTTTTGAGAATCCTTCAAGCTTGTGTAAGACTTACAACTCACTTTTATAGAAAATGTCGGATTTTCTGTAAGCATACAAAACTTTTTAAACAAAACAGATACAAACCGTTTTACATACAAAAATGCTTATGAACTCACCAACATTTATTTTTAACGATTTTCTAAACGACTTGTATTATCAGGGAACACGTTTGAGATCAAGTGATGCAACATTATGGAATTTACCTTATTGTCATTTTTGTGTAACTTATGAACAAATACATTATGTAAACTATGTAAGTTTGTAATCTCAATGTATACCGTTTGATTGCTATGTTTCATTTATATTCAATTGTTATGATACTATACAATGATGTCATCCGCCCCCGGTCGTTTCCGCCATCCTGGTTCGGGGGTGTGGCACCAAGCACTCAAACTTTCCAAAAGACTTTCTCCACCCCAAAGCACCATAAAATTCATTGCTTTTTAAACATGCATGTCTTGAACACAAGCTAGGTCAAAATGAAGGGAAAATGAGATCGAATCTCATGCATGGAACTCAACTCGCTGACTTTTAAGATCTGGAACAAGGGGTCACAAAAGAGCTCCAAGAGCTTAAAAGTTGCCAACTTTATGAGATTCTAACATTCAAACATGGGGAAAAGTGGACAAAAATCTAGATCTAGCATGTTTGAACTAAAAAGGCAGGATCTCGAGGACTTACAAAAGTCCTACAAAAACTCAAGGTCATGAGGGAGAGGCTTTCTAGCTGTGATAATGCACCAAAACGCATTTTCTTCTTCTTCAAGCTAAAAATCACCAAATAAAAGAGCTCACAAGATATAAAAAATGGCTATATTTTCTTGGAGAACAATAGGAAGGTGACATAGTTATCAATAACGAATAGCGGTAAATAACGACGAGCTACCTATAAGCTACGTAGCGATAGCGATGAAATAGCGACCGCTATTTCGTATTTAACGATAGGTATAAAAATATTAAAAAATAATTATTATGTAACTATTATAGTTATTATAACCAATAAATAAGCAAACAAACCATTAAACTAGCTAAATAACTTAATCATTTTAGTTTTTTAAACATGTTTGTAACTGATTGTAATCAACTAGAAGTTAGTTTTTAAACATAAATAACAAAAGTGACAAGTTAAACGGATAACGGATAACAAAAGAAAAGTCAACAGCCCGGATCACCAGCTAAGGCCCCTAAATGATCGCTCAGTGATAAAGGAGGTAGGGGTGCAGAGACAGCCAGGAGGTTTGCCTAGAAGCAGCCACCCTTGAAAGAGTGCGTAATAGCTCATTGATCGAGCGCTCTTGCGCCGAAGATGAACGGGGCGAAGCGATCTGCCGACTCAAGAATTTCACATTTCATTTATGTCATAATTGAATAAAGAATTCATAAAATCTAAATAAAAATAATTAAGGAAGACGGAATCCATGAAGTTTTGCTTGGTCTTCACTGGAAACTTGAGTAAGGAGTAAACTTAAAAACCCAAATAAAAGATCATCTAGATCTTCATAGCCAGGCTCATCATCATAATCTTGGGGAAATCAGTTAGCTTCAACCCCAATTCGTTTATTCTGATTTTTACAAAAAAAATTAATAAAAAATAAAAAATACCCCATCGCTAAAACCCCCACTTTTTGTCGCTATTTAGTAAATAGCAGTCATCGACCTATACGCTACGCTATTCACTATAGCGACAGCTATATCACTATTGACAACTATGGGATGTGATGGAGGTTGAGGGTGTGTAAACCCTAGCTTCCATTTCTCTTAAATAGGGGCACAAATCCCAGAATTAGGGTTAAACACCCAGACGGCCGCGACATCGTGAGCACATGCTCATCACTTCGTGACACACAAAATGGATGCACGTTTAATACATCGATGGCCACGTCGTGATGTATCGTTTATCACATCATGACCATCTCAAAATCCATATTTTACATCTTTAATTGTCCAAAAATATAAAAGAAGCATTTACCTAAAATAGGTATTACATAAAAACGATGAAAACATCGTAATCGTAACAAACAATTTTGAAATTTCAAAGAATTGCTATCACACTATAGTTTATTTCTTTTCGATTATGGTCTTATACACACACGTGACACGTGTGTGTGCTTAGGTGTGTGACATATATGCATTTCCATATATAGTAAAACATTATAATTTGCAAATGATGGAGCTGAAATGGCAAAAAGACTTATTTGGTTGGTTGGTTTTGCCCTTTTGTGTATGGTAACTTTCCATTAAAAACGTATGTTTTATGTTTAAAATGATTTAACTTTCTACTAATAGTAATTTTATTGCAATTAAAAAATAAAGATAAGATTTGTTCCAACTAATTTGATAGTGAATTTGAAGTCAAAGTTGAATGTGAATAGGCATGAAAGGAGCTACATTTGTTTGCCTTTTTTTTCTTGCTTTTATAAATCACAATCCAACGTCAACTTCCTACTTCCTACTACGCGTACAAATAGTTGGCGGAATTCAATAAAAGAGTTTGTCCTTTTTTAATATAATTTAAGAATTGATAGTCAGTATTTAAAATCTCTACCAAAGGGTTTGTAGCCCAGCGGTATCCGGTGTTGCCCTCCCTACTTGAGGTTGAGGGTTCAAGTCCCGTCGTGGACATAGGTGGATTTAAGGTGTAGTTTAGGAGTAGGTTAGATTTGCCGTTTCAAAAAAAAAAAAAAAAGTATTTAAAATCTCATATTCAATTAATTTCTTTAAGAAAGACTAGACGCTGGCTCATAAAAATTGTCAAAACTTAAAAGGAGGAAAACACCTACAAAAGTCAAACTTGACATTTAGGTTTATTCCTATAAGAGGGACAAAATAGTAAACTGGTCTCATACCATGTGATGACGACAAAAGGCGCCCAACTGTGAATAAACAAATCCCTTGAAAGCTCTCATCCACCATTTTCCAGCTTTTAGCAACTTTCAAGGACTCATTTATTGATACTGACACACAAATCTCTTATTTTCCTGAATTCAACCACATATTTATAATTCTTATCTACCCATTTTTGCTCACAATCTCTTCACATGTTAGTTCACATAACATTTCCTTCTCTCTGAAACTGATTATAAGCTTATATTCTTCTTTACCATGTCCATGAGAAAAGCTTAAAAACGAAAACCCAAACCATTCATGGCAGCTTTGAATCTGCTCTTTTACATTGCGTTTCTTTCTTTACTGCCATTAGAGACCACATCGACATCAACAATACAAGCACAAGCTCTTATAAGATGGAAGCGTACCTTATCATCAACTTCTGATGATGATGATGATGCTTTACTGGATTCATGGTCTTCGAGAAACATTCAGAAACTCTGCAACTGGACTGGTATTGTCTGCAATGAAGGTGGTCTGGTTTCCAAAATTACCCTCCAAGATTCATCTCTCTCTGGAACGCTAACAGAGTTTGAGTTTTCTTCATTCCCAAATCTTACCCACTTGGATATAAGCAATAACGATGTCAGTGGGTCGATTCCATCCGCCATTGGCAACCTCACCAGCATCATGTTCTTGGATTTGAGCTCAAATGGTTTCGAAGATGAAATCCCATCTGAGATTGGAAGGCTAACACAGTTGAGGTATCTGAATCTTAATGACAATAATCTGAATGGTGTTATTCCGTTTCAGATCAGCAATCTTCAAAAGGTATGGTACTTGAATCTTGGAGGGAATTACTTGACTAATCCAAACTGGTCTGACTTTTCAAGTATGCCAGCTTTGACTTTTCTTAACTTCTACCTCAATAATCTTGACAATGGCTTCCCCGATTTCATTCTCCAGTGCAAGAAGTTGACTTTTCTTGATTTGTCAATAAACCAATTCAATGGCTCATTACCTGAATCCTTATTCACCAATCTCAACAAGCTTGAATACTTTAATGTCTCTGATAATTTGTTTCAAGGTCCATTGTCAAAGGGGTTCTACAATCTTACTAAATTGAAAGATCTTAAATTAGGAAACAACCAATTCTCAGGTCCAATCTTGAAAGATTTGGATTTGATGCCGAATCTTGAAGTCATTGAATTGTTTGGTAATTCATTTCATGGAGAGATTCCTTCTTCTATCGGTTACCTTCGAAATCTTCGGTACCTTGATCTTCACTCAAATAACCTCAATTCTTCGATTCCGTCTGAGATTGGATTCTGTTCTAATCTCACCTTCTTGGCTCTCGCCGGAAACTCGTTTTCCGGTGAATTGCCTTTCTCTTTGTCAAATCTGACCCGGATTTCTGATCTTGGTCTCTCGGAAAACAATTTTTCGGGTGAAATTTCTTCTGATTTCATCAGCAATTGGACCCAAATGGTTTCCTTGCAGGTTCAAAACAATCTCTTCTCTGGGAAAATCCCACAGGAGATTGGCCTCTTGTCAAATCTGAGTGTTCTCTTTCTGTATAATAACAGCTTCACAGGCCCCATTCCTATGGAGATTGGGAACTTGGAGAATCTTAGGAGTTTGGATCTTTCAGACAATCAGATATCGGGTTCAATACCTTCCACGATTGGAAACTTGGTTAAACTTGAAGATATGCAGCTTTTTTCTAATGATCTCAATGGAACAATTCCACCGGAGATTGGAAACTTGACTTCTTTGGTCAAACTTGACTTGAACACAAACCGGTTGAGTGGCGAGTTGCCTAACACTCTCTCCAAACTTTCAAATTTGATGGTTCTTTCGCTTTTTAGCAATGGGTTTTCAGGTGGTATTCCTGCAGATTTAGGCAAGAGCAATCTTGTTTTGACAAATGTGAGCTTTTCAAACAACAGTTTCACTGGAGAACTACCGGCTGAACTGTGCAGTGGCTTTCAGTTTGATCAGTTCACTGTGAATGGAAACAAATTCACGGGAATATTACCAGATTGCTTAAGGAACTGCACGGGTCTACGTCGCATTAGGCTGGATGGTAACCACTTCTCTGGTGACATTTCACAAACACTTGGTGTGCACCCAAATCTCACATACATCAATCTCCGTGACAATCAGTTTACCGGTGAAATCAATCCCCAGTTGGGAAAATTACAAGACCTAACCAATCTGGAGTTGGGAAGAAACAGAATCTCAGGGAAAATTCCGCCTGAGCTTGGAGACTTGCTAGAGTTAAGTGTTCTAAGCCTCGAATGGAACCAACTTACAGGCGAAATCCCAAGTGAATTGGACAAATTAAACAATTTGTTCAATCTCAATCTCAGCAACAATCAGTTAAGTGGACAAATCCCTCCAGCCTTCGGCAACTTAACCAACCTCCAAGCTCTCGATTTATCTAGCAACGATCTGAATGGAAACATACCAACAACAATTGGGAATTGTGTAAGGTTATCAAGCTTGAATTTGAGCAACAATGATTTGTCAGGAGAAGTGCCTTATCAGATCGGAAACTTGTTCGGATTGCGGTATGTGTTGGATCTTAGCAGCAATTCATTCTCCGGCAGAATTCCTCAAGATCTGGCGAAGCTCAACACACTCCAGAATCTTAATCTTTCTCATAACCATTTCTCAGGTCGAATTCCTCCAGGGATATCTACTTCCATGATTAGCTTGCAATCAATCGATCTCTCGCACAACAATTTGTCAGGACCAATCCCGAACGACGGTGTATTCAAACAGGCACCGGCAGAATCCTTTACCGGAAATCCGTATCTGTGTGGATCAGAAAATGGATATCTTCCTTGTGACGGCAGCGCTTCATCGAAAAAATCCGGAAATAAGAAACTGCTTATCGCAGTTCTTGTACCGGCGGTCACTTTCGTCTTCATGGCAACAACGATTGCTATCTTCTGTATAATCATTCGAAGAAGATCAAAACGTATCGACGAAGAGATCAAAAGTACCACAACAATTGGAAATTCCGAAACAGTTATTTGGGAAAGAGACGGCAGATTTACGTTCGGAGACATCGTGAAAGCAACCGGAAACTTCAACGAGATGTATTGCATCGGAAGAGGGGGATTCGGGAGTGTGTATAAAGCGAAGCTACCAACCGGACAGATAGTGGCGGTGAAACGTCTGCACGTGTCGGATTCCGACGATGTTCCGGCGATAAACAAGAAAAGCTTCGAGAACGAAATACGTGCCCTAACGGAAGTCCGTCATCGGAATATCATCAAACTCTACGGATACTGTTGTAGGGAAGGCGGGATGCATTTAGTATATGAATACTTAGAAAAGGGTAGTTTGGGAAAAGTACTCTACGAAGAAGGAAGGGCAATATCAGAATTAGACTGGATTACTAGGGTTAAAATCGTCCAAGGACTCGCACATGCATTAGCCTACTTGCACCACGACTGCAATCCTCCGGTTGTACATCGGGATGTCTCGTCAAACAATATTTTGCTCGAGTCCGAGATGATCCCCCGACTGTCTGATTTTGGGACAGCCAAATTGTTGAACCCGGACTCGAGTAACTGGACCGGAGTTGCTGGATCATATGGTTACATGGCACCAGGTATTTATTATTTATTTATATGGTTAACAACGTCCAATTTATCTTATTTTTAATTGTTTTACTGAAACGTGCTAATTTTGTTTGTATTTATGCTTTAGAACTTGCACTCACAATGAGGGTTACAGAGAAATGTGATGTCTACAGCTTTGGAGTCGTATCATTTGAGATTATGATGGGAAGACATCCTGGAGAGCTTTTGTCATCTTTGCAATCATCAAATAGGATCTCTACATCTCAAGATAATTCAAATATGTTGTTGAAAGACGTCCTTGATCAGAGACTCCTGCCTCCTAATGATAGTGTCGCCGAACAAGTGGTGTCTGTGCTTAATTTTGCTCTAGCGTGTACACGATTAGCACCCGAGTCAAGACCTTCGATGCGTACTATTGCACAAGAATTATCGGCTAGTACTCAACCTTGTATAATTGAACCATTAGACCAAATTAGAATCGACAAGTTATCAAGTTTCCAAAAATAGAAAGGAAACTATTTTTTTAAGATCATTTCACGTATCATTAAACAAGCAGTGAAATTTAAATAATCTATTGTATAGTCCTAGTTGTAAATTTGATACATGTATTTTTTGGGGTAAATCGATGTTCTAGGAAAATTTCAATTTAGTTGTTTATGGGCGAACGCAATCCATCAACTTAGTATATGATCTTTGCAAAAGTCATCCATAAACTTAGTATGTGAAACCAACCTAACACTTACCAGGATATATGATTCTAAGTTTTTAAATATAAGTGTAACTATATATATTGATTAATGTGTTATTTGTTTTTTGACAAAACTTCAAAAATGGTCCATGTGGTTTTCAAAAATATTAAGTTTAGTACCTAAGTTCAAAAACCTCACAGATGGTCCCTGTGGTTTCAAAACTTTTAACAAATAGTCCTTTTCGCTAACTCCGTTTAGCTTTTGGACGTTAAGTGAAGGGTATTTCCGTCATTTCACAAAAGAGAGACCATTTATGAAGTTTTTTGTTATTTTAAAAAAAAATATAATTTATTTAATAAAGGGTTCCACCCCCCCCCCTCCCTCCCTCTCTCTCTCTCTCTCTCTCTCTCTCTCTCTCTCTCTCTCTCTCTCTCTCATAGTATAATGTAACGCCCGTAGATCAGGGCTAGTCAATTTAGAGACGATAGGCGTTAAAAATGAATTTTTTTGATCAAAGATTATTTATAATGAATAATCTTAACTAAGTTCTAGTATATGTTACAAGGATTCCGTACATATAAAGAACGCCGAAATCCGAGTTATAACGAAGAAGTTATGACCTGTCGAAGTTTTGCGACAGAACCGGCACGACACAGCGCGACGTAAAAAGTGAATTTACGTTAGAGCGATATTTAGCCTTAGAAATTTAAATGAAAGTCGTAGAATATGTTAAACCATGAGCGTGCATAAAAAGAACGCCCAAATCTGACTTCGTATGAGGAAGTTATGATTTTTCGAAGTTTCGACTTAGCAGCACGCAGCCCGAATGCTCGATTTGAGACCGAGCGGTTTTTAGCCGAAATAATCTAAATGAGAATTGAAGATCTCATTAATTGTAGTAAAACGATAAAAAGATAGGCGAAAACGGACGTCGGATGAAGAAGTTATGATTTTATAACGGAGTTTTCCTGTCCCGGCCTACTAAAAATAAATAATAAAAATAAAGTCAAAATTAGCTGACGGAGTCTAAACAAAAGTTGTAGATCGTAGTCTCACCTACGCGTGGATATAAAGAACGTCGAAAACGGAGTTCGTATGAGGAAGATATGAATTTTTGAAGTTTATTAAATATTTTCGATATTTTATTTAAATATAAATTTTCGATATTATCCAAGGGGGGAGTCACCGGGCTTATCCACGTTACGCCCCGCGTAACCTAAGATTACGCTCCGCGTAAATCGGCCTTTCATCCCCTATAAAAGGGTGTCGAGGGCAGCCGAGTAGTTTGCTCATTTCTTCCCGTTTTCTCACGTTTTTGCATCGTTTTTCGTGCAAGAAATATCCAGAAGCTCCAGTATCATTCCCGAGCCCCGAAGCAAGTCCCGAGGCCCCGAAGATCCCGAGAAGTGCAATTCCCGAGCCGAAGCTCTGCCTGCGAGGAGTCCGGTTTTTGTGAAGATCTTCCAAATCTACCGAAGAATACTACTTCTACAAGCCGTAGTGCTGTCCGATCATCTTCTGATCAAGTGAGTGTTTAGTTACTTTCTTCTAACGCATAATTATGAAGTATTTTATACGAAATACGTGTTATGTGTATATATATTGTGGTTACTCTCTTCTAAACACATAAATATAAAGTATTAGCTATGAAATACGTGCTATGCGTTATATATTAATTGTCTATATGAGATGGACTTGAAATTGATGTTTTTATATGGGTGTTAAATGATTTAAACTATATATGTAATTTATATCTACAAATATGTTGGGTAGAACATGGGTAGATGAAATAGTTGATGTGTGTTGAAAGAATGTGATAAGAGAAAGGTGAGGATATAATGGTGATGTAGATTGATGAATTAGGTGATGAGTATATGGTGATGATTATGAATTACGAGTCCAGGCGATGTTGTGGCTACGTATTCATGCGATGATAGTTTATCCCTTATTATGAATTACGAGTCCAGGCGATGTTGTGGCTACATATTCATGCGATGATAGTCTAACCCTTATTATGATTTACGAGTCCAGGCGATGTTGTGGCTGTGTAATCATGCGATGATACCCTAACCCTTACTAGACATATATTGAGGGAGTGATCCCCGAATTAGTATTGTCTATATGATACAGGCGATGATCCTTAGGAAAAAAGTTCTTAGGAACAAGCATATAAGGATATAAGATGTAAGGAGATGAGCAGTAAATATGATATAGGAGATGACCCTTAGGGTAATATCTTTAGGGAAGATTAAAAGAAGATAATGGGAATGGGTAATTGGGTTGATTGTTTGATGATTGAATATAATAATTATATTATTGTGGGTTGAAAACCCTATATGCTCACCAGGCTCTCAAGCCTGACCCACTCAGTTTAATTGTATCACAGGTATCGATACGAAGCTGCTTTGCACTAAGAGATTAAAGGAGATGCAAATGATTAGTGTAATTAAATGTAAGTTCTGTTTATGATTATATGTCTGTATCGGAACATGACATTCTGAGGTTTTATTATTAAATGAAAATACATTCTCTTTGAGAAATGTTTTGATAAGTTATTATCATATCTTGTTTTGGGAACAAATTCCGCAACCGTTTTCTTTAAAAGATTACTCTGATTTTATAAAACAAAGCATAAACAAATCGGTCTTTTCTGGCCGTGAAAATGGGGATGTCACAGTTGGTATCAGAGCATTAGTTTAAGCGAACTAGGAAATTGTAGGAAATTTCTAAACTTAAACTTAGAATGCTAAATAATGATTGTGAGGAGTGTGTCTAAAATATGTTAGGTAGTACACCTAAATTGACACAAGCACTAGTTTATTTTTGGAGTGATGCCTAAAATGTTTTTATGTGCTAAATGTTATATGTTGCCATATATGATATTATTTGTTCGGATCTATGGTCTGTTGCCGACCGGATCTTGAAACCTTATGTGTGTAGGATTCTAAGCGTACGTCTACGATATTAGAACTAGCATGTAAACATTTCGGAGTGATAAGGATGATTTGAATATTTATCGTGAATAAGGATCTAATTTCACCTTATTCGATGTATAGATCAAAAATGACAAGAACCAGGAGTGGAGCTGGAAACGTGAACGAAAATAAGAATCAACCACCTGTGGTTGAGTGAGTGGCTGTTGTAGCAGCAACACCTGAACAAATACAATGGCTGGAGTGCGAACCATGATTCAAGCCATGATGGCTGAACAAAAAGGAGGAAATGAGACAATTGTTGCTGAACAACAGGAGTGAACCCTCAATACCAGTTGAACAACCTGAGCTGAATGAGGGGCAGTCGGAAGAAGGGAACTATAGTGGGACCATTGGTCAAGCCAACCCACCAATAGTTCGCCGAAACAATCAGGATGGAGACAATGATGGACGTGGATGCAAGTACAAGGATTTCATGGCATCCAAACCACCATGTCTTTCTGGGACCCGACACCGGTGCAAGTCATGGACTGGATCTCCGAGATGGAGACAATGTTTGAAAGTTGCGAGTGTAGCAACAGACAGAAGACCGCTCTTGCAATCCCTCTGTTAAAATCTGGAGTACTAGCTGGTGGAAGTTACTAGCCGGTTCAATGCCCAAGGGGAAGCTAGCAAGATGTCTTGGGAAGAGTTCGTGGAGCAAATGAAAATGCAATACTGCTCTGAGCAGGAATCTTCTGGAAATCAACAATGAGTTCCAGAATTTAAAGAAGGGAAAATTGAGCGTCACTGAATACGCTACAAGCTTTACGGAGAAGATGAAGCTTATTCATACCTAATTCCAACTGAACTTCCAAGGTCAACAAGTTTGCCAATGGATTACCAGCGGACTTTGGTCCGATAGTCAAGCAAGCAACCACTCTGAAAGCCGCCATCTGGGCAGCCAAGAATGTTGAGACCCAAATAAGGGAAAAGGGTCTAGAGAGAGTTGAAGTTGGAGGGAAAAGG